TATTCATTGCTATCGGGATGTTAAGAGCATTCCATGGAATATAACAAAAAGTGTATCTCGAGCCGGTTTCTGAAACTTACCTACCCCACCTTCAATAACAAAAAGACAAATAAATGTGTGAGATTTGCCAATACCTGGTTAAACCTTAATATGTTTGCTATGCAACTTGGTATGAAAAATCACATTTAATTTCCCCATATTGCTCTAATAACAGCATCGCCACTAGGACTTTTGGGTGCATTCACACCTAATAGTCTGTTTTCTGGTGAGCACCAGGCGACAGTTTGTTACATTGTTTCATTTTTCAGAAGGTTCGGTTTGCATTCACACGGGCAAAACTCAAACGGACTATAAACTTTAAACACAAGTCATGTGCACGGAAATGCTGTTCAACCATTGGTCTGACATTAAGGGGGTAAAAACGCAAATCCCGGCAATTTCTACCGGAGCCTCCGCCATGGAGCATCGGCACTTTCGGCAGGTTATTCTCATGCGGCTGTTAATCTGGAGATCAACAGACACTAGCGGCCCGCGCATATGATTATATAATCAGACAACGTCCGTTAAAAAACATTATAACACATAATGAGAGACGTTCTGCAGTAAGGAGGGGCGTTTCACCGACGACAGGTGTTCTTACTTTTATGTAGCTGACGGAGAATTTTTACTTTACATGACACTGTTCAACACTTAATTCTGCTTCACTCTTTAACTAAACAACCGCGGATGTCTTGAAAAACTCTTTCGCTAAAGATTTTGAAGATATCCGCGTTCTTGTGACACGTAAATACTGCGCTTCCTATGTTTTGGTGCGGACTGCGTTCACACCAGCAATGAACCGCTCCAGAGTTCGCAAGCAAGCGTTCCGAGACCACCTATTTTAGCGGACCAGAGTCCGGTTGTTTAGTTCACTTCAGAGGTCTCGGACTGTGTTCACACCGACCCAAATGAACCGCACCAAGCGGCTAAACGCACCAGGGTTCGATTCAACCGGACTATAGAAGGCAGGTGTGAACGCACCCTAAAGAGTCTAAAAAGTGTATAATCCAAACACAATGCGTATATCTGATGGCAATAGCAACAGCGTGTCTGGCTTTTAAAGCTTCCACAAGCAGCCAATCACACACTACACCATTTTTAGAGTTGAAGTAGCCAGGGTACACTACCAGGGTAGGGTGCCAAAACAAAGCAGTGGGTCCCACTCCCAGCCCCAAGGAAAAAAAACGACTACCATTCTGCACATACCTGGGTAAATCCTGTGCTATACTTCGCCTACAGAAGCTTCAGGTTTGGGGAACATACACAAAAATATATACAGAAAAAATCAAGCACAAGTCCCCACCTTCAACCACTCCATATTGACAGCTCCTTCAGTCAGGAAATGCCTAAATGTCATTGCATCCTCTGATGTGCACATTCTTCCTGCAGCAGCTTGAGCTCTAAGCCTCCAAAATCTCTTCCCTCTGCTGGCCTCAGGGCTGGCTGGCAGCTTTGGAAAAACCAAGTGGCTGCCTTGACATTCACCAGCCATCTTGGACCATATTAGGTGGGAGGAAGGAAACAGGCAGCTCGGACCATCTCTCTCTCCGATTAATGCTTCAGAGAGCATTTTGGATTTGGCGTGTGCGGTAGCTGAATTGATGCCAGCCTGTCTAATCCTGACATATTGGGCATCAAAACGCAGTACACTGAAGAGAAATCAACCCTTGTCTCCATCTCAAGCAGAGATAAACAACAAGCTGCGCTAGCTTTCCTGAACCCACACTCTTTTCCCCAGCCCTTTTCAGGTGCAAACAGCATTTCTGCAGCATTAGGATTGGCAAGCTACTGAGAAAGATACATACAATACTATGTTCTATATGATGCAAACATGCCATCTTTGATATTGTTTACAGTAGGCTGTGCTTGAGATCACCCACTCTAACCTCATTTCCACAGAGATTTGGCAGACTAGAGCTATCCGTTTAAAATGATGACAGTAGCTATCAGCGTTTATTCCTAAAGTGAAGGGAGCACGAGAGACCTTGATGTACAGATATCATGTCCCTTGATGTTTAGTCAACAGATCAATAGGAGCAGTGTTGAACTTGAGCCTTGTAGTATTTGAAAACATCATCATGTATTTATGAGGCTAATGGTGAAATGCAAAACATCTTACATTATGCTGTGTAAAGCGCACATATTTTCTATATAGTATGTCCATTTTATTTATATGTATAGTAAGTCTTTATATTTTAAACGCACACTTTATCTTTAATTTTATCAGCACCACGTCACTATTATTTATTTATATGTACAATTTTAGCAAGTTTTTATATTGTCCTGTTCCTGTAAGCCAGTACAACGAAATGTTGTTGTAATAGTACACTCTGTGTCTTGTTGAAATGACAATAAAGTATGTCTATGTGTTTGTTAGTCTACTGGTGGCTCAAGTATTTAAGGAACCTGAAGAGCCTTCACCTCAGCCTCAAACTTGTTATAATTCAAAGAGCAACACAAATACAGAGAAAACATATGCAGACGAGGCATAGAAAATAAAGAAAGACTGAAGTGGTAAAGAGCCATTCCATTATTGCAGCACTGACATGTGAAAAAGCTACTGATGCTCACTAAGTCTGTCAGCTGCTCCCTTATTGCCAGTGTCTCCAACGTTACATAACAACTAATAGGTTGAACAATCTGAAGTGAAAAGGAAGGTTTCAGTCGAATGAGAAAGAAAATGCGGGAGTGAATCCTGACAGTTACACTACTTTAAAAAGACTGACAGAAAGAAAAAGAGCAATAAGCGACTTTAGGAATAAAACATGTCTATATACTTTTCAAAATGCAGTAACAATTACCAGTAGCCTAATTCTGATATTCCTAAGGACACAAACCACCTGAAGTATTAATGTTTGTGTGTGTATAAAACGACCACGCCATTACAAGCTCTTTCAAATGGAAAATAATGGGAACTGTAATGGCACCGACAATAAAGCAGTCTATTAGTCTACTGGCAGCCATGGGATGGCTTTGGATGTTTCAGGGAAAGGCAACAAATACTTTAGGGCATCGCAACTAAAGGCCATTCTCCAATTGAATTGTTTCTATCTGTATTTCCGTCTGAATGCATGGGTTAGTGGGTCCCTGGATTCCATTGCAAAGCTGTGTCGAGGCCCTGCAAACACACATGGCCGCCATTAAACTAGGGAGACAAATGTTACAATAAAGAACCAACTAATTCCCCTTAGTAAAATCTGATCTAGTATTTCACCACCTGTGAACACACAGATTTAGCTTCAGGCAACCAACAACAACAACAACAACAACAAGACAACAGTGTGTGTGTGTGTGTGTGTGTGTGTGTGTGTGTGTGTGTGTGTGTGTGTGTGTGTGGTGTGTGTGGTGTGTGTGTGTGTGTGTGTGTGTGTTGTGTGTGTGTGTGTGTGTGTGTGTGTGTGTGTGTGTGTGTGTGTGTGAACAATAGATCCTGGTCGAGAAACAGCCGATTGCTGTGCATGGAAACGCAGAGCACCGAAGCCAATTGGGAGGAAGTGATGGCAGAGAGGGTGGCAGAGTGTGGTATTTAGGTCAACATTGTTTATGTCTCCAGCTCTTAATTTGTTTATCCTCTGAAAAAAAGATGCTTGCCAATATAGCATGGTACGTTTGCACAGTGCCGTTTCGGCCCACTGCTCTGAGCTCTCTGTACTTTACCTTCCCTCCAAAAGCTTTTAAGTCTCCTAATGAGATTAATTAAGACAGTCCGGAGTTTGTTTAATGAGGCCCTGATGGCCTGAAGCACGGAAAGGAACATCACAGAGAAATAGAAGCTTCACTTTCCAAAATAAAGAACAACACTTTAAAGGAGGGTTTATAAAGAGGGTTTAAAAAGTTAAGCCTTTGAGTAAATTGATGATAATCCATTAAGCTACAGGGCAGCAGGGCACTTCTGAAGACTGATGAATCAAGTTACTAAACTGACATCATTTCCAGGGCCAGTTCCAGTTGAATGTGCCCTTCATTGTCTCCTTACCTCCTCTGGAAGAGGCTTTGTGTAGCGTACTATACTCTCACCAGAGTATTGCACTTGTAGCATAATCTATTATGGCTGCTAGTTGCTTGTATGCAGTGACCTCATACACATTTTGAACAGGTACATTTGTCTTCACTGCTTTCATATCGTGGTCCTGAACCTTTGCTATGATTAATTCAGTAGCAAGCACTTCAATTCAATAGCTCCAAATTTAAAATTCAAAAAGACTTCACAACTAAATTATAATACTTTAGAGACTACTCTGATGCTGAAGGCAACACATCTCCATTCTCTTCTCTCCATGTGTGTTTAGAGTAAAAAGAAAAAAAGTCTTGAATGTCCATCGGAGAACTTCTAATTCGTAATGGTTCACTAGTTACACAATCGCATTGGTAATAAATCAATCAGCTGAACGGAGGCTGCATCCAGATACTGGGTTTCTTGCATTGAGGCTTTTCACTTAAAATAGATTATTGAATTATCTTTTTATGACATAATTAATTTAAAGAGTAAGGCAGCTATGAATCCTATGAACAGAGTCAATCCTGAGGTCAGCTGACTCAGTGCTGTGATGCTGGTAATTCAGTTACACCATATCAAGCGGTTTCTAATGTACCAACACTTTTAGATCACAAATTAGATTCCGAAGTGATCCGGACAAAACCTACGAGTCAGGAAACACATCATGTGGACCCTTGAAGAAGTTGGGGGGTATAACCTAAATGCAGGGTTCTAGTCAAATCAGTGAAGATGTATTCCCATTCTCTGGATACACAGACAAACTCCATACATGAGCCTGATGCTCTGGCTGTCTTTATTGTAGGTGTAAAGGCAAACACAAACTCCTGTAGATTTGTATAACAGGAACATGCTGATGCAAAGAACTCAAACATCCACAATGGGTTTTCAGGCCCATGTTTTTTAAATATATATATATTTAAAAAAAATACATATATGTATAAAATATTTAAATGTAGAGTCTTACCTATTTGCCTCTCCAAGTCAGCTGCTTCGTCTGGGGTGGCCCTGGGCAGCACCCCTGGGTCACTGAAGCTGGTTCTGAGAAGTGTCCCCAACACAAACATAAACAGCACACCTCCTATGACTGGGATGACTGGGGTCAGCTCCAGCGCCAGGAACGGACAACTGGAAGCACAGGAAGAAGAGCAGAGGGAAAGAAAATGAGCAAATAGTTGTCATTAGACACAGGGTTCTGTCTGCACAGTAATGCTTAGCCAAGTCACACAATCCTGAAATAGCAGGGTCTCAGGAAGATTACTGGACCAAAATTAGCTGATGGTCCCAGTGGCAAGAATATCTGCTCTTCTTAACATCATATGTGTTCACAATGAGCCTGTACAAAACAGTGACCTGAACTCTACACGCCTTGAAGTTCAGGAAGTGTTAAAACCAGCGACTTGTTGCTTAATTCACGGCAAGTGGATATACAGACGGGCACACGCATAAGTCCCCCGTGTTGTAATCTGCTCTATTGAGAAAATTTAGTTTAGGCTAATCCCATTAAATGTCCAACGATGTAGGTGGTTATTACAGTAATCACATTCAGTCCCACAGAGGCGGGGCACAGGCTGCCGCAGCCCATTTCATTTGTTAGTCTCCGCCTGGTCTATTGGATCGGGCCTTTGGTCAGCAAGGAGGAGCCATTCCACACAAGAGAAGCTAAATGAACATGCGGCCGGTTACCACATGTTCTCAGGGACGGTGTGAAGGAATGCTAAATCGTACTGCGAGTTGAGCCAAGGTACACAACAGTGTTTACATAAAGGCTCTTGTTCATACACTAAATTCTTGAAATATTGAGCACATGCAGAACACAACTCTAAGTATAAATTGTTTCTGAAAAAAAAACACCTTTTCATGGCAGATAGGTGGATAGGAAAGAAAGTTGGAGCTGGTTGGTGGGATCGGTATAAACGCCAGTGGCGGCCGGCCCATAGGGGCGCCGCCCCCCCTCTTCCCACATGTTTGATTTTCATTAAACATTTTAATTAAAAATATATTTTAAAAAAAATTAATTTTTTTTATTTTCAATTTTAATGAACAAGGTCAATATTATATAGTTGGTTGGTATCAGTAAAATGTATAATCTAAAATAAAATCTCGTTTAAAATTGTGTTATGATGTCTAATGTTACTGATAAGTCACATGTTTCCTGCCTAGCCACAGCGTGTATCATTACCCTCTCTCGTCTGGGCGCTAAGAAAGGAGCCCTCACTCAGCCCCGGCGGCATCCAACACATTGCTGAATGTTGCTATCTGTAAACTATGCCGCCGAAACATAATTTCAGCCAATCAGCGTAGTCAGATCTGATGCTCAAAGGGGGGCAATTTCAGCGCCCGATGCAGTCTGTGAGTTGGTTATGGCTAGAAAGGATCCGTCTTGTGTAAAACTCTCGTGAGAGTTTGCGAGTCACGTGGCTGAATGTTTACGTTTGACAGGCAGCCTTTCAGTTACGATCGTTAACATCAGTGGGCCACAGCAAATGATGGTGAGAAGCTAAACTATCTATTAATTATGTCAATTACAGGGAGTGTGATTGTAACTGTGTGTGACTAGCTGGATGCAAACAGGTAAACGCTGTCTTGTTTCCCATGCTTGCTCTTCAAACAGCCGGGGACAGATAGTATGTGCCCGTGATAAATAAACACACACACACACACACACACACATTATTGTATATAGTTGAGTTTTGACAGCATCCATCAAACTAGAATTTTTGCCTCAATGGTCTGTTTTCTAATATTTCTGTGTTTCTGAACCACATCTGTGTCTGCATATAATGTTCGTATTTAGTCTACTGATTTTAAATGGGAATTAAATCATTTTAGTGTTCCCAAATAACCGGTGTTCTACAGTTTGTGTGGGCCTACTGTACTGTTGCACAGTTTACTGTAGAAACTATGTCCAGGTCAAGGTATTTGGAGGTTTTGGAAGATTCATAGCGAACCACACTGAAGATTATGGAGGTATTGATCAGTCTTCTCATATCTCTAACATCACCAGTAGTAATCATTTAAGGGGTCATTTCTCAAAATGTTCCCCGTGTGGTTTATTCACCATTACAATAGCCCCACCTAAAATAATTTCCACCAGCCGCCACTGATAAACGCCATTCACTAAGTGCATAAGTCTGCACTGCATGATTGACTGCCATTTCAAATCAATGCGGGGAAAAGGATGATACATATCATAAACAAACTGATGACTCTCAAAGTGACACCGATAGCTATAATAAGCGACTGCGGTGCACCATTGTGGTTACAGGGGTTTTTCCAATATATTAGGCATGGCGGCCTAAAGTGACTTAAATAAGTTCCCGTTCCTTGCCAGCAACCTGCTTATTAAACTGAAAGGGGTTAGTCCAGAAATTAGAAACAAAACTGTGTCAGGTTCACTAAAGGTAGGCTGACCTTTATGTCAGTTGTTCGACCCCATTTTCTAAATAATGTTACTGTCGTGTCACATTTAAACTTTGTACAACCCCTTCTAAAAATGTATCAAGCAGTATGAGTTTTACACCATTTACCACATCATTTCACTATCGCACTATCTAACCCGCCTCAGATGGCAACACCTTGGGAGGGCAGTTACATCCGCTGATCTATGCCAACAGCAGTTATTCCGATAAACCAAGCCAGACTATATTTAGGCTAGCCATGTTGGATTCCATCAATGATAAGGACAAGGTTGTAAAACGCACCTAGAGCATGTGCTCAGATTTGCTGATCTCTGCTAATTGGTGTTTCAGCATCATATGCTCACGCTGCCTGCCGCTACCTGAACTGCTGGAGAGGATAAAGGACAAGGTCAGCCAACATACGAGATCTAAGCAAAGACCACCAGAAGCTTCTCACTTCATAAACATGATGGGCTGGCATTACACTATATTGTTAGGTGATTTCAAGATACAGCCAGCTCTAGGATAAGTAAGACAGTTCACCTTTTTAATAAAAAATTAACAAATGGAGTCAGACGTATAGAGTACTTGTGCCGTTGAGGAGTGTTTAAGCTCTGATAAACAAACCCCCTAGAACTCATGCTATTATCCCATCTAAGTGGACTCTGGCCAGTCCTGCTGCTTCTCACATCTGGAGTGAGACTGAGCTAAGCAAACAGCGCTGGGTAGTCTGGGACATCAGCAGGGAGCTGCAGGCAGGACAAGACTGTGCGACACAAACATTTCTCCAGTCAAAAGCTGGCCTGGAGGTTTACAAGGTCATTGTGCTGGACACCGACTGTGTCAATGTACAATATAAACAACTAATGTCAGACACTTGCTAACAGGGCAACCATTTTACAGCCCTCTGTGATTTAGTGATTCTCAGTCTTCTGACCGAGGCTGGGAGGAGACACATTATCCAGAACTGTGTCCTGATTTTAAATCTGATACAGGGTACATTTAAATCTCTGTCTGAGGCCGTGCTACAGACCATCCTTCTGCTTATAATCTTACAAATCTGGCTGTCATTGTTGAGATAAAAAGCAGCTCTGCGGCTCCTGCAGATCACTATACTTTGACTGCAAACACTGTATGTCCAATTTGCACGTATTCCTTTGCTTCCAAGTCTATACCTCACGGCCGACATGATAATCAGGTAAGGATATATGTCTTACTATAACTCTTCATATCACTGTTGCAACTGAAATGTTTCAGGTAATGTATGTTAGACAAACAACACACATAAGGCTTTAGTGTTTCATAACAGATTTGTTCAAAACTGCTCAAAAAGCTAAATGAGCAACAAGCGGTGGCCGTAAACCCGGCAAAGAGCGAGTCAAACCAAAATAACAAACTGTACCTTCTTGCTTTACTTCAAAAGGAGAAACATATGTTTTCCGAACGACCACTTTACTTCGGCTGTCAGAAAGTGAACAAATAACTAGAGAATGGCAGCAGATTTCTGACCATGTAGGAGGTAGTGCTGAGAGGACAACTCTTAAGAAATGCTGAAAAGAGATGACGACTACGGGCTTGCAGGGAAATAACTCAGTTCTTTGTTTCCTGTCTGAGCTGTTAAGTGCATGACAAATAAATCCTCATCATTATATAGTAAACATCCTACACTGCTGCCAGTTGAACACACAATCCACATTGAAGTCCAGGACATTTTATGACAATGATGGACTGTTGGAGTTTCTGATTGTCAAAATATCTGAATATCATACATACATTTGAATTGAACCAATCAAAGTTTAGAGCATAAGGGTTTAGTATGCTGCCTGGCGCTGTCTTTCTGCATCTGCCACACAATATCTATTCATCCGTCCTTTCAATCTGTCCTCTATTTTGTCTGATTGGTCACACATCACAAAAATGAATTCACCAATTAGAGATGCTGATGGTAAATCACTGCCGTTGTAAAATGCTTGTGGCAATGGCAGGACTTGAGTGAGGGTGCTGCATTTGTAACAATTAATCCAATGCCAAGATTTCAAGAATTTCTAAGAAACCAATGAGGACATCAAACCCCCCACATTTATATACCCAAATAATGCAAAGGGTTATTTAGAGCTACATATCCGTGGAAGAGCGTGAATGAGCTGCATGTTCCCGCTTTCTGGAGGGAAAACTAGAACGTGAAGATTTGTGCTCTCTTCCGTGAAAACATTGTATTTCAAAACGTGTCATCTGGCAAGTGGTGATGGAGATGACAGAGAGTAGCAAAAAAACGCTGCTTCCGTCCTCAAAGCCTCGTGTCAATGTGTCGGACCTCAGGAACATAATGGAAAGGCAGTCATGTGTGACAGATTAAACACTGAAGCTATTAAAGAGGGACGACAGAGGAAAACCTCTTCTAGATATGAATCAATAGAGATGAATGGACACACTGCAGGTGTAGGGAATATCATGCCTTGTTTAAGATCCCACTAAAGACAGGAATCGATTTGGATCATTCACCGAACATGAATGGTGGTGACAACAAGCAATCCCAGCATCCCTTTTTTCTTTTAGGAGACGAGCGGATATGGACAAGGAACCGGACAGTACCAAAGGTAAGTCGTTATTTTCCTTTTAGTGACTAAATCGTATGTTTAACTGGGGCTCTAGGGGCTTTGTTGCTATGGAGACGAACGGTATCTAATGTCAGACATGATACATTTCGAAAAAGGGAATGTGGTTGCC